TCTTCTTTTGATAACATCATTGCGTTTTATACGATTTAAGTCATCTTCGAAAAACTGATGAATTCTTTGATTAGGCCTTTTTCGTTTGATGACAATAGCTTATTCTTATTTATCACAGCCAACTTCACACGTAACCGCTTAATCGTTATATATTTTAACAATTGATATAGTATGACTTATTTGCAAAACATTTTCTTAAGTTTTTTGCTTTAGTTTTTGTTTGGTGCCCTATGAAAGATGGAAGATCGAATGTAAAGCTCAAGAGATCACGGTCTAAAAAGTTTGTTGTCTCTTCTTTTGATAACATCATTGCGTTTTATACGATTTAAGTCATCTTCGAAAAACTGATGAATTCTTTGATTAGGCCTTTTTCGTTTGATGACAATAGCTTATTCTTATTTATCACAGCCAACTTCACACGTAACCGCTTAATCGTTATATATTTTAACAATTGATATAGTATGACTTATTTGCAAAACATTTTCTTAAGTTTTTTGCTTTAGTTTTTGTTTGGTGCCCTATGAAAGATGGAAGATCGAATGTAAAGCTCAAGAGATCACGGTCTAAAAAGGATGAAAAGGCTCATGCCTGTTCGAAGCCCGATAGGTTGTGCTGTCAGTTTGGTGGGATTTTAGAATGTAAGTTCATTTTGAGCTTTTGCCCGACGACTAATCCTGAGACAAAATGAGTGATGCACTCAAACAGCAGGAGCCACAATTGATCAATAGAAAGTGTGTAGTGTTCCACTAAGATAATGCGTGACCTCATACTAATTTAAAGACAAGCCAAAAGCTTTTGTATCTTAAATGCGAATGTGTTAGCACAATTCACAAATCAATGTTACGATTTCGGTTGCTTTGTGGAAAGCTGGTGCTGTTCTAAGACGTTATATATTCCTTTGACGGCTTCGAAAGCGATATTGCTCTTCGATAAACCCTGACCTTTTCTTAGTAAATGTCACGTTGGAATAATCATAATTATAAAGCATGATGGTCTAATGTGAATGATTTTTCAGAAGCTCAGACGGTATGAAGGTAGAATATTTGGTCTATTCGACAAGTTGATAATTTAGGGGTGATATTAAAGTGGAGGGGGATATGACATATGATATTCATACATTCAGGCACCAGGACCTTGTTTTGTGCTTCGCTATAAACAGACAGACTGACAAGAGATGCTGAGAGATCGTGTCGCCTCTATGAGAGGATATGTTTTTGCCCACAACTCTTAAATGATTACTTTTGCTCTTGATGTATATATTTACGTTTGATTTCATTTGTATGAAGTACTGCTAGCCATCTGCCGGTTATTAATTCTGTTGGCTGTTTGCCAAACTAAAATCAAGAACATGCAAGTCGTCGTTTGCGATTTGTAGAGTAATCTCTTAATATTGTACATATATATATATACATATGTACAATATTTGTACACACGATTTCGTGCCTTTTATATTGATCCAATTTTGTAAACAAAACATTAAATTTATGTGTATAAGTACCGACAAACGTACCTTTGTTGTCTCTCAGTTTAGCCTGTGGCTAATAATTGCGCCGTGACCATGACAAAGGAGGATGATCTTTATTTATTGCATATAAATACATATTTTTCCCAACAGGTGAAATTAGAATTAGGGTATTCTTAATATATTTTTTTTTGTTATTACTAAGGTGAAGTCACTTACTTTGACCTTTTGAAGAGAAATTTAATAACTCAGTACCGTTGAAATGTGTTTGTTGCCCAATTTTTTACCATTTACTTGGAATGTATACGATTTTTTCCTTAGTGAGTGTAAAATGTAATGGCTAAAATCTAGTTTAAGGCTGAGGACCGTCTTCTCAATGTCTGCTTTGCACCTATCTGTCAGTTAAGTTCTGGTAAAGAAAAGGTTCTTTACTGTGAGAAGTAGTCTTGGCTGAGTTAAGCAAAACTTAACGGACTCTTGGATATTGAGAAAATATCCCTAAAGGATGTAACAGTGTACCACCCTTATGTCCACTTAACACCTCCGTGTCTGTTCAAACACTTACTTATATTTTGGCGCCGCATTGTTATTCTCATTGCTTTGTCATTAAAGCAGCAGATGTGTACTCACATTGACTAGGCAAAATGCTCGTATAAATCGCAAATTCATTGTGCAGTCAATTATCTTTGAATGTGAATTCTTTGCATTGTCTCATTCAAAAATCGCTTGTTGACTTATTGGCATATAGTACATACGTACAGCACAATGTGTTTATTTGCTAGGTGTGTTTGAACATTAGGGTGGGGTAAAAGTATACATTCTTTTATGAATTTGCATTCAAACTCGAGTTTAAACTTTAGTGTTTAATGGGATGTTTAAATAACTCTGGCTATAACTAGCAAAAAGCCAACAGCAAAAAAATTTTGAAAAAATTTCAATGTATCATATTTTAATTAACAGTTCATCTGCTTCTAACATCGAACTTTTACAATTAGGTTTGGTGGGTACAGATGGGATAACATAACCCCCCAATTAATATTTTTGAAAATATTACATTTCTTAATTATATTTTGTCCACCATAGAAATACACTCCGTGTCTTCTTAAAGTTTTATTGAAAATGTTGGCACATTCGGTGCCGCGGTTTCCGGATCTATATGCTAAACGATTGTAGTTAAATAAATATAACATTCATAATATCAATACCAATACCTATATGGTGTTTTTAGAGGTATATAATTTCCTAGCAACATAGTTGCGAACCAATGAACTATAGTTTGTTAAAAGTGGAGATAGAATCGCTATTACCCTCAAAGGCGAGTCCCTAAGATTCGCGGATTTCTGTTCAATTTCAATCGCCTAAGTGATTAAAAAATAAGCATATAATTGCTATACAGCGCATGAAAACATTAATTATTTTTAAAGGACTAAATTTTTGATCTAACCATGTCAAGGTAAAGGTCTGCCGATAGGCCACTTAGATTGTTTGCCTTGACTTCTTTCGATTAATTTTTGTTGGGTTACGTTAGACTAGCTATTTGTAGGGATAAGTCATTTGCAACTGAAAAGTTAGAAGACATAATTCGGCAAGTTATTAACGTAACACGTGTACGGTGTCTGTGCTTTGAAAAAATGTAGAAATCCGGATCGACAGGAATAGTTTAAGGGGTTACATGGGAATCCTCGAGTAAAAAATAGCCTATTTCCAAAAATTTTTGTTTTCTTATAAAAAAATAAATTTTTTATTCAAACTTTTCATTATTTCAAAAATTCCGAAGGAACATATTCAAAGCTCGGCCGGCAGTCCATCGAAAAAGTGCTTCCGTGTTAACAGCAGAACTTCTTAGGATCGCAATTAAAAACAAAAAAATACGTGATTTAATTAAGACCATGAACTATGTATTAGGCGAAGGAACAGGCCAAAAGGTGAAAATTGTACTTTTGACTGAAGTTTTTACAAAAAAAAAAAAAAATTAATTCAATTTTAGTGAAAATTCTTCAACTTTTTTTAAGAACCAAAAACCTTCGTTTAAGATTTGTAAATTATAAATCGAAGATCTCAGTAAAATTTCTTTAATAACATTAGAGCAGTCCTGAGAAATCTTGACAAACCACTTTGAGAACACAGTTTCGAGAAAAACTTGTTTAAAGTGCTGACCTCGAGCGCGTAACTTTCAAGGCAGTATTTCCAAAAATATTACTGGGATCAATTTGTGCATCGCGAAAAACATTCTTGAGACGCTATAGAATTAAATAAGACAATAAAGAAAGAAATTTTTCCAAGTCGCGAAATCCATGTTATTCCTTAATTGACTCAGCCAAGATGTTCATATGTGTGTTTGAAATTCAGTTCAAATATTCAATGCATAAAATTTGCAAACTAAAAGTTATAAATCTAGGAAACATCTGGTATGTATACATAGACCAGAACATGCCACAAATTTCTCAAATTTATGCAGCCATTATATATAATTAATTTCGTCATAAATAGATAGTATATTGTGTATTTGCATATAAAGTACTCTTACATGTGGGTGATTTAATTTCGATATTTATACCATAAATTTATATTTAGAGCACAAATGTATATAAAACACAAATATTTATTTCTTTATTTATATCTAAATATATCTGTTTTCTATAAAACAAGACGTTTGAGTATTTTTCCCAATTTCATTAAGGTTTGATCTAATATATTAAATGTATGTATCTATACTTGTTAATATTGAAAATTTATTGAATTGAAATTTATTCCTTTAAAAATCTATGTTCGGGTAGATTTAGGCATTTGTCGACCGATCGGGGCAATATTTTATTTTACAGAGAGGGATTCTGCAGCTGAGGTCAGTGTCTTCATAGAGCTGATAAAGCCTCTCATTCTATATTTAATGATTTTTATTAAGATTTATCAATCTTTCCGGAATTTTTTTTTACTGAAAACAGTAGTTTATTAACGATGTAATGATGTTATAGAACCTCTCGATGGTGCGAAATTTTTTTTTGAAACTTTAAGGTATTATTTTTTTTTAAACAAATTTTTTCTTATAAGTTTAAAAAGGTTTCTAAAAAATACATATAAGAATGGCATTTGGGGTAAAAATTATTTTTTTTTTAATTTCCTTTCGATTATTATTTGAGAACATTGATTTCAATAGATAGCTTATAGATAAACATTAGCTAGCACTCTGGCAACATTTGCATAGCGAAGTAAGGCAAACGACGATAAATAAATAATAAAAAAGAAAAGCGAAAAGTAAAAAACATCAGCTGATATAAATAAACAAAAGATGATAAAATGAAAAAGCAATAGCAAAACAACTCAATTTTCGAAGCAAAGTCAAACAAATGTGCATTCGTGTAAAATTGTTTACGATAAATATCTATATTTACTTGCCGAACGTCATAGGAAAATATAAATAATAAGTCAAGAATCGTCGACTTTCGAAATAGACTTTATTTTTGCTGCAAATTAATTTTTGTTCTGTTCTCGACGACGGTTGGCATTTCGAAAATTTCACTTCGTTTCGGTTTCTCTTCAGAATCAACAAGCTGCAAAAATTTAAAATAATAACAAATTTTACGTGAATTATTGTGCCTTAACCTAAATTCCTGTTTATTACATAAGTGAAAATCAGAAAAAAAAAATAAAATCAACAATAAAAATACCAATATACAAACAACAACAAAAAACAACTGGTGAAAAGCGTTTATAATAATAAATAATAAAGATGAGTCTACGCGGTGTGCACGCACTGGATTCCACCGATTCGATTGATATACCGGAGCCGCGTATCAGTCGCTACCCCTTTGTGACTACGCATCGTGTTATGCGATCTATATCGGGACCCGGAGCCCTAACACCGAGTATGTTTTCTTCGATCGTGAATTATATTTAACATTTTCTCTCACCTCTTTCTTCATTGTTTTACATTTACTTCATCAATTCCTAACGTCTAGCGCACCTTCTTGCGAATATTTAAGTTCTTCATAAATTAAAGATTATTACAAAGCATTTAACACAAATTATGTTATCAAATACAAGTTCGCTGCCCATATAAGTTTAAATATATATACAATATATGTATACATGTTTAATAAAACTTAACTTATCAATTGCTGCCTTATCAGTTGCGACTGTCGCTGATCACAAATATAAAAGCTAAAAATTCCATAATTTACAGCAAAAAACAAAAAAAAAAAAAAAAAAAAAAAAATAATGGAATTGGCAATTTAAAAACAAACCTACTCTCGTTTTCGTAATTACACTAGGGTGGTTGGATTATTCGTAGATTAAATTGTTCTTACATATACATAATATCTTATGCCTCTTAGTTTTCCGTATTTTCCGCGCTTTTTGTGACTTTTTTAAAGAAGCCATTCATTAATTAAATTACTAAAAAATGGTAATATGTAGAGTGTAGTGTACTTTAATAATCAGCGACTTATTTTGTATTAATCCATTATGACCTTTGAGAAAGTATCTGGTGCACATACAGTTTTTTACCTAAGATTATACAAATATCAAAAATAGAAAATAACCTGTGCCAACTTTTGTGAGGATGCATTCACAAATGTGAAAGTTTTCTATATAAGAACTTGATTCCGATTGTTCAGTTTGTATGGCAGCTATATGTTATAGTGGTTCGATATCGGCAGTTCCGCCAAATGAGCAGCTTCTTGGAGAGAAAATGACGTTTGCAATATTTCAAAACGATAACTTCAAAACTGAGGTACTAGTTCGTATATATACAGACGGACAGACAGACAGACGGACATGGCTAAATCGACTCAGCTCATCAGATATTATATATAAATGATCAGATATATATATACTTTATAGGTCTCCGACGTTTCTTTCTGAGTGTTACAAACTTCGTGAAAAACTTAATATGCTCTGTTCAGGGTATAAATATAACAACTATAGATAAAAATAGGGAATGACTGACCGCCTTCCCCAAAAGATCGTTTATTACACTTCAGAGTGGCTTAAAAATAAAAACGATTATCAAAAATCGTAAGCCAAATATGTCTAAGAATTAATTGGTCTAGCCGTTTCGGATAATGTTTCCTCACCGTCTTTGAAATGAGCCTTTCGAGAAAAATGTGTTAACACTTTCAAAATAAACTTTTTTATTTGCTTTTTCGATTGATTATATTTCCATAAATATCTTCTAAAGAAATATCTTCTAAGAGCGAAAGCGAAATTTTAAACGCGTTTTTCTCGAAACGACATTTTTCAAAATTGCTGGCGTCATAACTCAACGAGAAATTGACCAATCGACTTCAAATTAAAATTAAGTATTTTTGAATACATTTACTGTACAATGACCTACGATACTTTTGAATGGTTGAAAATTGTCAATTTGGCATTAAAAAAACAACCATTTTTTAAAGATCGTAGGTCATTGTATAGGAAATACCTTTAAGTTTTATAAACTTTTCAAATTTTTTTGTTTGAGCTACTCATTCGGCCGGAATCACGTATTTTTTGTCACCTCCGAAGACGGCCCGTAACTCCGTTATTTTTCAACATTTTTGTAAAAAAAAAAGTCTTAAAATATAGCTGAAAATATACCTTATTACGCGCAAAAAAGTTCGAAATATTCAATCGCGAACTTTCTCTTAAACAAATTCACGAAAATCGCCTAATTTTTCATTCGTCACACAAGTATAGCCCTTAAAGTTTTGGAAGTCGCTAAGTTAACCTATTTGTCGGATAAACGTTATATTTTCGGAGAATATTTAAAAATATTTGTACATACATTCGATATATGTATTTGCAAAAAAAAAAAAAAAATGAAATAAATTTTTTTGATTACATTCGATAGTATAAATAATGAAAAAAAAAAAAAAAAAATATTTTTTGAAATTTAAAAGTGGATATAATGACATTTTAATTAAAAATATTGCTTTATCAAAAAATTGCCTATGAAATATTAATTGCTTTAAGTCTAGCTTAACATTATCAGATTCATAATCCTTTTCTAAATTAAATCCGTGTGATATAATAACTATTTCATTTTGAGTATTTGTTATTAAACTAGAATGCGCTCTTTTCAAAAATCCATGATCCTCTCTATTTTGTTTAGACTTTACTGTAAAAATAAATTAGTTTTACAATTCAAAAAGGAACTTTATACTCCATATATTAGGTTGTCAAAAAAGTCTTGCGGTATTTTTTTTATTGAATTTTCAGTTGTTCATAAAATTTTTTTTTATGACTCATGCCCAGCTCTTTACCGATGCTACGGCTTCTACTATGCCGGTCTCTTTCGACCAATTCAGCGATTTTATCGCAATTTTCGACGACAGGCCTTCTGGAGCGTGGCGAATCTTCGACCACCTCTACACCAGAACGAAAACGTCGAAACCATCGTTTTGCGGTGGAAATGGAAACTGTATCGGGTCCATAAACTGCAAAAATTTTATTGTCGGCTTGAGATGCATTTTTAGTACTGTAAAATATGTCGTATTTTGTCTTTATTTTGCTCCACGTTTGCGAACACGTGTTAGCGCGTGAAATGAGCTTTCCAAAAAGGTATAGCATGACCCGATGCGACGAATAAAACTAGAAATACGCGCTCTCAGCTCCAACTAGCGAAAATACCGCAAGGCGTTTTTGACAACCCAATATTTATGTAATATTGGTTTGTAATGATTCGATATGATGCGATATCAGTTAATTTGTAAAGATATTATGTGATTTCATGTGATTTGATGCATGGTCGAGTATATGTAATTTGTGAATTGGTGATGCATGTTGAAATGAAGTGATGTATATTTATTGATGGTATTGTGTGATATGATATCATCTGCTTTAATGCACAGCATTATATTTTGTAGTTTATGATATGATTAGATATAAACAATTGATATGATAATATTTGATTTTTACGTTGATGACGTGTTAATGTTTTTTTATATGATGGGATGCGTTGTGATGTGATGTAATATGGTTGATGCTAACTGGTAAATTTTTGAAAGTATGATGAAGTGATGGTGTAATATGAATGAATTATCATGTGTTGATGAATGATTTAAATGTGCGTATGTGATATGACATGATGTGGACAGCATGTGTTATATTTTGATGTAATTTGTGTTATGATGAAATGGAAGTTTTGATATGACTAAACTCAGTTTAGATATTAATAATAATGTGATGTCCTTATTTCACTGATTAACTTAGATATTAACGATTAGTTAGGCGATATGATGTGATGCAGCAAATATTTCATTATTTAATTTAATCAGTTAAATGAGGATGACGTTATAATGTATAAAGATATACTATACGTGTTTGATATTATATGGTAAGATATGTAATGATGCCATGTTATATCAGATGTGAATGTTTTATTGCATGCGATTGAAGTTTTGTGTTGATGACGTGATATAATGTGATGATTTGGATGGGTACATTATGATGACTGGTGATATTGATTGTGTTATCATACTATTAAAGCCTAAATGTGCTGAGTTGATGGAGAGTGATATGATATCACACGTTATATGATATGATTTGAGGCGATGCTCTCACAGATTTAAATGGCTTAGATATTGCTTGAAGTTGCAATTAAAATTGAAGTTTTCTTATTTTGTATTAAGAAAAAGTGTGTGACGTGTCTTATGCGGCTGATGATATTTTTTGAAATTCTTCTTATAACACTTTTATTTAATTTAGTATAATATAAGTGATATAATTATATTTGATATGAAGCTGTGATTTGATACGAAGTGATGTATGTTATGTTTATAGGTCATAAGTATGACAAATGAAATATTTTGTGAAAAATTAAGGCATTTTTATTTTATTCTATAATTTTAATTTCATTACCTGCTGCAAGGTATTTAGAGCATAACTTTAGGACAATAATACAATATCGATTATTATATAAAAAATTAAATTAATATCATAAAAGTATTTTCACTAAAAGCATTGAAGAAATTAATTGAAAATATTTCATTTCATTTTGATTTCTATTCTTATTATCATTTAGTCTGATTTCTAAAATATTTTCCATATTCTTCAAAAACCTTAACGTTGTTTTAATTAAACTTGTGATCCAAAAAATAAGCACACTAGGTCAATAGAACCATACGCAGATTATAAATATTCAGTTTGTTTACCCGAGCGCATTTCAGTCTCTTTCAACTGTCCAATTGTCTATCACGCCGGCTTATCACTCGAAATCATCTTCCTATCAGCAAAATGCACTGGAAATACAACATACTACTCACTTTGTAGAGATTTTGTATGACATTAAATGAAGATGTTTTGTTCGTAAACAGAGACGCATTAGTTACTTTCTGTTTTCAAATCGATCAAGAGCTTCGTAGAGCTTGGGTATATTTTGAAATGAATTTCAACCGAATGGATTCGACACATCGCCTGCTGGTCGATGCAAAGCTTTTCGGATTCCCGATTCAAGGTGAGCGGCGACGCGGGCGACCGTTCACGCTATGCAGTTGTCTTTCAAAGTTTAGCAGTGAAAATTAATTAATGAAAAAGTAAAATAGTTGATTGATGTTAGGATAGCGTTCTTAAAGGTGTCATATTTCGTTTTACAACTATCGCTTGGTAACCAATTACCACCACCACGCTCCTCCACGCCGCCGGGCCAACGACAGTAGCACCAACGCGAAAGTTGAGAACACAATTGGAGAAAACAAAGCAAAAACACGCAAAATAGTTGTGTTGTATACTTTTGCCAGCGTGCGAGGTAATGCCTGTGTAACACTTAATAGTGCCGCCACATTGCCATCAGTGACGTCAGAGCCGTCGGTAGTAGTGATATATTGATTTTCATGCCAAATGTGGGCTCTCCGCTTGGTAGTTACGTACCCTCGTGTGCAGTTTTGCCCGCAGCGCCATTAATTTGAGTGTTGGCTTTAATAGCGCTCGCTGGTGAGGGGTGTGAGAACTAGGCCAGCAACAATAGTGGCAGTAATGAGCTGCAAAAGTACTTAGATTACTCGTATCAAACTTGGTGCAGGATGCGTTGATTACAGCCAACGGTCCTTTGCACTAATTAAGATGCAGAGCAGCAGGAGGCAGGCACAAGCTTCGAATTACTGCCGCTAGCTTTGAGCGTTTAATTTCCTTTTTTAACTCACACAAATACATAGTTATATACTTCATTTATTTACTCATCAACCACTTTTCGTTTTAGGATCCGATTCGCCCACCTCCACCGCAGCGGCGCGTCTATCTAAGACACCTGTACCCGGTGAAGTTTCCGAAGATGGACTTCCGAATGAAATTTCCGCACCATATGAGGTACCACAATTCCCTATCGAACAAATTGAGAAGAAATTACAAATACAGCGGCAATTAAATGAGGCAATACCCTCGAGGTAAGTGTCATTGTATATTATAATAGTTTGAGATTGTGCGTTAGACGTTTGCCATTTAAAAAATGAAATACATGTACATTGTATTTGTCCTTGTAGTATTTCTATACCATGATGAGAGATTTAGATATCGGCTTTTATTTAAGCCGATAGATTCTTTATAAAAATTACTCGGTTGCGTTATTTCCATATCAGCCTAAATATAGGCTACGTATTATTATAATCAATTAAGCAGTAATTACGCTCACTTGGTACTTTCGAATTTTTATACTCTTGCACGCATCACTTGAAACTAATCGAGATAGATACAGGATTATATATATATAAATGATCAGGATGATGAGAGGGTATGAGAGAGCTTTATCGGAATCGGTATGAAGATTGAACAATGGGCGTGGCACCGTCCACTTTTTAGTGAAATCCCACATCTCGGGACCGATTTCGACAAAATTTAGTTCGTGGCATTCTTCTAACATTCTTATGTGTGACAAGTAAGGAAGGGCTAAGTTCGAGTGTCACCGAACATTTTATACTCTGGCATGATAAAGTGATAATCGAGATTTCAGGCGTGGTTGTGAACCGATTTCACCCATATTTGGTACATGTCATCAGGGTGTTAAGAAAATATTATACACCGAATTTTATTGAAATCGGTAGAGTACTTCCTAGGATATGGTTTTTGGTCCATAAGTGGGCGACGCCACGCCCATTTTCAATTTAAAAAAAAAACCTGGATGCAGCTTCCTTCTGAGATTTCTTCCATAAAATGTAGTGTTTCTGACGTTTTTTGTTAGTCGGTTAACGCACTTTTAGTGATTTTCAACATAATCTTTGTATGGGAGGTGGGCGTGGTTATTATCCGATTTCTTCCATTTTTGAACTGTATATGGAAATGTCTGAAGAAAATGACCATATAGAGTTTGGTTGACATAGCTATAGTAGTTTCCGAGATATGTACAAAAAAATTTTAAGGGGGCGGGGCCACACCCACTTTTCCAAAAAAATTGCGTCCAAATATGCCGTTCCCTAATGCGATCCTTTGTGCCAAATTTCATTTTAATATCTTTATTTATGGCTTAGCTATGACACTTTATAGGTTTTCGGTTTCCGCCATTTTGTGGGCGTGGCAGTGGGCCGATTTTGCCCATCTTCGAACTTAACCTTCTTATGGAGCCAAGAAATACGTGTACCAAGTTTCATCATGATATCTAAATTTTTACTCAAGTTACAGCTTGCACGGACGGACGGACGGACAGACAGACATCCGGATTTCAACTCTACTCGTCACCCTGATCACTTYGGTATATATAWCCCTATATCTGACTCTTTTAGTTTTAGGAAACAATTAATAAAACGGGCTACAACTTTGCACGTATAATGTGTTTCTGTTCCACCTAATGATCAAAAATTATTTAACGGGTCAGTAGGGTAATCTTGTTTCAAAAATTTTTTTGCATATTCTGTTTTCTTATACCTTTAGAATTAATGTAGAAACCCACTTTACCATTGGAAGGTTTCGAAAAGGCCCCAAAAATAATAATACCGAAAAATTTTGTTTGTACACTCCACGTATACCTCATGATATGTGAAAAAAGTTCTATTGTAGAATAAAAATTTCTATGAAAAAAAAAAATGCCAAAAAACAGGCCACATTACCCTACTGACCCCTTTAATCCAATAAATACTGTTCAAACCCCTAGGTATTTAGACCCCGGTACCTATAGTTCACTTTTCATCGAAAAAGTCGTGATATGCGATATATGTATATAAGTGAAATTAAAGGATAACCTTTCTCTTTTGATGGTCTGTATGTCAAAAATCTGTTGAATCGAGCCAATACTTCCCTGAGCCCCTATATACCTGTTATAAAAATTTTCGAACTGACTTTATACCGGATATATCGGCCAATATGTGCTATCAGTTATCCCAATGAAAATAAGAGAGCGTATTTTACTCATAAGAGTGTATCTTTTTGCCTGAAATGGATACATTTGAGCGAAAGCTTGCCCTTACAAGTTGCAAGAGTATAAAATTTGCACCCGAACTTACCCCTTCCTTACTTGTTAAAATTGCACTCAACACACGGAAGGTATGTAGGTATTATTCCTGCCAATTATTCATTGAACTGTTTGCATCAGAGTCAAGATTTTGTAATTTATACGATAATTTGTTAAACTAATTGACATACAGACACATAGACAATTAATGTCTTTCATTACATTTCCTCTATGGGAACACTCTGATTACATGCAAAAATATTTTGGGTTACAGACATTTGCGTGGCATTGCACTGGCACATTTTCTTTATTTATGGCGTGATGGGAATATATTCAAATATTAAAGCTGGGAAAGACTTTGCGTTAATTAAGAAAAAATTATGTGCTATAAATTTCTATGATGGTGTTGCTAACACGTAATCATTCCCAAGAATTGACCCAAAAGGAATTGGTTTTTAAAGCAAGATCTCATTTTTTTTTTTTTGGTTTAAAAAATTAAGAGAAAGAAATAGCCATGACAAAAATAATCACGTTTCTTAATACGACGTCTACGCAAATTTACATTAACATTACCTTTTCGTTAGTGTAGATTTTTGAAACGAAACATGAAAATAACATCTAATCGAATTTGACTTGGACTGTAAATTTTTCTACTAATCATTATTACCGCCTTCAAATTAGGCTCCTTAGCCAATACACTTGTTATAACTTTCGGCTGGGGTACCTTCGGTGCCTTCAATAAATTGTGTTTTTTTTATACTAATTTTTGGAGTTTTACTCGTTAGATTGTTGGAGAAATTCGACGTCATATTTGTAATCTCATGTGTCGTCACCAGTAATGATATATTTAATGAGTCCTCAGAATCCATCTGTTTTTGCAAAATATTCATGTTCATAAAGTAGACTATTTAAAAAATTTCTACAGCGTTCTTAATGATTCCGTAGGCGTGATCCCACTGGAAACATAAAATTTCTTGCAAGTTCGTTTTCCGATTCCATGAAGAAAAATTCCTTCCTTGCGCTTCGTAAACAAACATCTACCAAACTCTCCGATTGACATATGTAGATTAAATTCCACACGAATATAAAAAGATTGTAACAATCTGGAAACAAATTTTTTATAGTTTTGGTTTGAGCGCGCAACTAAGGAGAGGCTAGCCTTACTGAGGACTAAGAGGTCACTAGATCTTTAGCGATCTATCTTACGGACAAAGGTTTCAGTGACAGCGCAAGTACCGATAGTGGCCCAGCGCTGGCCAAACTTCCGCAAAGCCTAGCTATCTAGTAGTAGAACACAAGAGGATACGCGAGCACCGTCCCGCTCCCATTCTACCAATAGCTGTTCTAGAGTGTATTTCCTTGGTATTTCATTTGCTTAACAGTTGCCTGCGATTCTGCTGTGACCTGGCAGCATGACGACGCGACTCGATGTTATTGACAGCGAGGTTAGGCATTCTTTGACCACTCTGGAGCAGTAAATATTCTGATACCTTAATGGCTGCAACCTCGGCCTGGAAGACACTGCAATAGTCAGGAGTTCTCAAACTGGAGTTGATAGAGGCCTCCTGACAGTAAAACTTTCCCACCAATCTTCCCTCTAAGTTTGACCCATTCTTGAGGAAACTCATTGCCTCTCTTCCTCAACGGCTTTAAATGGTTTAGTCCGAATCAAATTTTATCAGTTGCGAGATTTGTTCATCTAATGATTCTTTTTAACAATAAAATATTTGAGATATTAAAATATAAAAACATAAAAGTCCAGAACTCCATAGGAAAAATCGCGACATTTTCAACAGTGCAGAGTCAGAAATTTGTAATATGCTTCGACAACTATCGGAAGAAGGATCGAATATCACTCGTAATATATATAATCCAATCTTTCCAAGCCAGCAACAGCGCAAGCTTCTAATTTACCCAAACGTAGAACTGTCAAAGAAATATTCCGTTGTCATTCATTAATTCAACATACATTTCATGTTCTTTATCAAAAAATTACATGAACGCTTTGTGTGCTTATAAGGGCATGCTCCAAAAACCGCTCAATTGCTATTCAAATTGTGTGGAAATAATTATTTTAGTATTTCAAACATTTTAGCGTGTTGTGCACAAGTTTCGGGCATGGGTATGATATGCCTCTTAGTATATATGTATACTGGTAGTGGCCGGTCTATATGTGGCTTCACTCCACTGCCGATTTAGTGCCTCCTGCCATACATACAGCTAAGCGCTCACCCACCATATATCATGAGTGCTGTCATATAACACCGTCAGTCGGCGTTAAAAGCTAGTGTTCACATATATGTATGTGTGTTTGTATTTCTGACTGCCGAATAAGGGTGCATTAGCGACGTTGTCTGCACTCGAGTGCGTTCCGTATTCAAAATTTGTCGTAATTCTTGGTTGTCGAGGTGTTATGACCGTGTTCTATTCACGAGCACACACCTAACACATTTGAATGAGTAGAAGCTTCGATAGGTGCTTTCGCGACACATCATCATTGACAACCACCATCCATCAGTGTTCGGTTTGGTTTGACAGTTTTTTTTTACAGACTTACATGTTTCTGAAATATGCGCGTATCTGCACCTGTATAGATTGCAGTGCATGTGATTGCATGGACATATGTACATGCTAATGAATCTACAATATACTACATCTATGTATGTACTCGAGTGGAAGTGTGTGTTTCTATAACCTGGGCCTATTTGTTAGCCGCATTCACCCACAGATTAGTTATATTTTGTTTTAGTACGATTTTTGCATTCAAATGATTTGGAACGCGGTGTCCGCGTTCGCGTTGTTCAAGACGTCCAATGTCGACCCGGTTCATTAGTTTTCACCACTAATACAAATAACGTGCGCGCATAACCCGCATAACTTTACAGTTACCTCCGACGTTGTTGTGTCAATCAAATATAGCTCGGTGAATTTGAAAGAAAATTATAAATTAACAGCGGTTCCACGTTTTCATGCATTCAGTTTGATAAGAAAGGCATTCAAAGTATTTGGGTAACTACATAGTCCCTTGTGGTTAGGTTAGACTATTTAGACATCTGAGCTACTTTTAAAAATATAGAAGGTCTCTTTTAATAAAATATTTATTTAGCTGGAGAATAATTTATACTATCAGCCTTATTTGTACAGATTTCAAGTATTTAAAGAGGACTTATGTACGATATTACATCGCTATTAAGAGCTTGGCCGCATATAATTTCAAACTTATGCAAGCTTCATAGACCCAACTGGCAGGAAAACGAATTTATTTCGCATAGAACTAAAGGAACTCTCTTAAATATAATATTTTTTATAGAAGCTTCGGCACCGTAGCTATAGTACCCTTTACTTCAAAGTTATTGGAGAATGTTGAGTATGATTCGAATGAATATTCTTTGGAAATTATTTTTGGAAGATTAACACTATCGAATGTTGCCCGTAATTTTCCATGGCTCATCCGAGCGTTTCGGCTGCTAACTGGCGAATGACACGCGTGATGTTTTGCTCAAAGCCAGAATCGAACGGGATTGCCCGCATAGACTTTTGACTTTACATATCCCCACCGTAAAAATGGTAGGATATCACACGATCGTAGTGATTGATGCGATGTGTAGAAAGTGGCACAGTCTTGTTGAAACTAATCAGGTATTAAAGGTTATCATGGCGCGATAAAGATCACTATTGACGATTACATTCTCAACGGCATCCATAACTCACATCAAATCATTGCTTTTTCCGGATCAAAAGGCAACACTGGAATCTCTTCAGGTTGCTATTCGTCCCAAATGCATCAGTCTTGCTTGTTTACATGCCCATTGAGCCAGAGATGGGCCTCAGCGCTGAGCAAAATTTGTCCCGAAATGTCGGAGAGGTCGAGCGGCTTTAGTTCTTGCACAAGCTGTATTTTGTACGCTTTCAATTTAAGATATCGACGTAAAATCCGCCAAGTCGTCCATACGTCAATGTGAGTTTCTGCGAACGGTGCCGAATCGATCCCATTTTTCCCATTTTTCGTGAAACGATTAGTCTCTTGCATCCACTGTTTTGTAAATTATCCTTCACTGTGGCTAAAATTCTTACTAGAGCGTTATCTTGAGTTCTGAGAACATGTAAAAATAGCTGGAGGTCAGATCTGAAGAATCCGGAGTATACCGCAAATGATTCCATTTTTTTCGTTTCTTTTTAAACGATTTTGTCTTGCCTATCTTCTAAGAATGTTATATAATAATCGGTGCGATTTAAACCCTACAATTGATAAGTTTTTATAATCACTAAGCTGGCTTTAATTCGTTGGAAATAACAGCGATCTAAATTCTGTTGTAATTTATGGGATCGAGTTCAAAAACCTGTTTTTTTAGATCTACAATTGGCATCAGTTTAATTGATGATATATAAAATTAACATGCATTGCTTTATCCAATATCTCATCTTTACAAGACATAAATCTTTCAAATTCCCTAAGAATTAGTCATCCTATTCTTCTCAGACCTTCAATGGCTTTTATCCTACATGGAATCGAAATATAATTCTCGTTAATGCTACTCAATCTAAAAGAGTTCTTGCTGGTAATATAAATTTTTAATTTTTAGCTGACTTTGGGACAAGAAAGATTCAAATGTTTTCTTATTTCGAATTAGCAAAGGCATGGCATGAAGATTGACTAATGTTAATTAATGACTTCTTGTTTTGTTTGGGAACATCCGAAATCTCTCTCATAATTCATAATTTCCTTTCACTTCTTTGAAACGGTTCAGAGCGGCCATTTTCAACATGTTTTAAAAAAGTCTTCGTCAACCTTTAAACAGTGTTTGTAAACATCTTGAAATAGTCTTAATTATTTGTGCGAATATTTTTGAACGATAAGATGAACTAAAACAAGAAAAAAAGTTAACTGCGGTTGCACCGAAGCTAAATACCCTTCACAGGTGCATTTCTGTTAGTAACTTTGTGTTCAGTTTATATGGAAGCTATATGCTATAGTAATTTGTTCGGGAATTTTTTTTTTTTTAGATTATATTGTTACCTTAAGCGGTAGTCCATGCCAAATTTCGTAAGATACCTTGTTAAATGTGAAAGTTTTCCATACAAGAATTTGATTCCGATCGTTCATGTTTGTATGGCAGCTATATGTTATAGTGGTCCGATATCGGCAGTTCCGACAAATGAGCAGCTTCTTGTAGCGAAAATGACGTTTGCAAAATTTCAAAACGATATCTTAAAAACTGAGGGACTAGTTCGTGTATATACAGACAGACAGACGGGCATGGCTAAATCGACACAGCTCGACATACTGATCATTTATATATATCTATCCGACCCTTCCTTCTGAGTGTTACAAACTTCGTAACCAACTTAATATACCCTGTTCAGGGTATAATTATTCTTTAATTCTTAAAATTCAAGCTGAATATAAAAATTAAATTACCCTCCACAACTTCCTTGAGTATAGTGTCAAATTGCATGCTTCGAGCGCCTCGACTTCGTTTACGTGTCGCACGAAACTCATTCATTCAATTAATGACATTTAAGGCGTGTGGAGGTCGACACCTTTTTCCCGAATTCCAGAAATTGTCAATTCGCTTTAAACAAAGACAACAGTAAATGTCATAGTCAGTTCTTTCATTGATTGTAGGCACAGTCTGTTGACTGTTGGTATGTTTGCGAAATTGTTTTGAGTAAGTAAAAATTGAGTGGTTGCCAGCAATTGTAATCCGACAATCGAATCTGTTGCTAAACGCCGGCTGTTTGTCTGGGCTGCGTGCACAAAATGGCACGTGGCGCTACCTTATCCTAGCAGTTACATCTCCTTGGCATTAACTCTACAACGAAAAAGAAATTAGCAATAATAGCAATCGATCATGACATCTACAACGCGTCACAACTGTCAATAATGCAATAAAAATTATAATTCTTTTGTATACGAAGTTATACCGTCTGTGTCATGGAGTAGTTTTTGTGACACATTTGCCTTTGAGTTCTTTTATAGTTAATACTTGTGATCCCTTAGCGGTTGCGAAATTAAACAATTGAACTAGTTTAAGTGTTCATACTCATGACATACGCAAGTGCCTTATTGTAACGGTAAATATCTAAGTAGTATAGTATTAAGACGCGTCTTAAACGTCGAGAATGTCTTTCGCCTGTGATACTTATAAATTTAAAACATTGGAAATATTCTACAGGTAAGCAAATGCCAGGCAGTGCTATCGATTTGTGAAGTAAAAACTTTCTTCCCGAACAGTTTGGTGATTGGTTGGCTCAGTATTGTTTAATAGCGCGTTTAAGATGGACATTAGCAAAGAGCAAATACGGTAAATTTGGCAGTACATAGTCCTACATAAAAAGTGAAGACGCAAGCCAATCGGCTGGAAATGTAAATAGTTTTTAAGGTCCTGATGTTGTAATAGCCAATCAGGCATAGTTTCGTTGTTGTTGTTGAAGTAGCGGCAGAAATCTGCCAAGTTGACAGTCCTTGGCTGGATAAAATTCCGGGCCCGTTCAAAATAGGCTCTTTCTGCGTCGGTGCAGCGCGATTTCCAAGCGTTGAAGGCGTCACGGAAGCCATTCTCCGGAATAGCTTTGAGAGCCGAGGTACATGCTGCTTGGATCCACTCTGTCTTGACTTGTAACACAGTGTGCTGTCCTGGTCAAACATCACTTTATTTTTCTTCAAATTTGGCCGATTTCGTTCTTCAAACGATCCAATAACACTATATAATAATCCCCGTTGATGGTTTTTCACTTTTGAAGGTTGTCAATAAAAATTAAAAATTTCAGCCGAGTTGATCGACCGAAAACCATGGGTCTATTACGCTTGCACATTTGAAAACACCGCACGAATCTTCAACTCGTCGGTTTTTTTTAGTCAAAAGTGAGCTCCCGCGAACAACTTCACTTTATGGTTATCCAAAATCATTTTGTGGACTCTTGATCGTCGTTCAAACATAGCAAACCACGTTTAAACGGTTAATTTCCCTGGTGCAGCGTCCAAATAATGTTGATCAACCTTGGCTTCAACACTATTTTGTTCCCCCCAAAAAGCAGTGCTATGATTAACACACGAAAATGTTTTTGATCAAATTTTTGTTGACTATAAAAAGTTGTTTCTGTCAATTTCCAATAAATCTCATAAGCTAATAGTCGGACATCTAGAGCAACTCTCTGGACATCAATCTCTTTTAATATATTCTTCTCTACTACATTTTTATAAAACAAAAACAAAACAAAAATAATAATAATAATGAAACGATTTTTCTTTTCTTTTTTTTTTTTACAGATCTGATAAGCATCAATCAGTACTAACTGAAGAGAGTTTAATGACATTGGACAACTACGACGCAGAGGAACATGAATTGCCCAATTTTCAACGTGTTTCCATCTCTGGTGAGGATACAAGTGGCGTGCCATTGGAAGATTTAGAACGCGCCTCCACGCTGCTCATACAAGCGCTGGAATTACGCGAACGTTATATGTTGCATTCGGGCCAGTCGTTCCCGACAACAACGAGACGTTTTCTAAAAACCGTGCACGAGCGCAATCGTTTCGGCACGATCGAACACGAGAATCGCAAGACCATTGCAGGTGAGTCAAGCTAATTTCGATTTGAGCGCTATTAAAAACTCTATCAAAGTGCTAGGTAGCTAGAAAAGATGTATATCCAAATTTTGTTGAAAGTTTTAGTCTTTGAAATTTGTTACTGAAAAAGTAGTTTTTCTTAGAAAGCCCTATATTCTAATTATTAAATTATTATATTATGGTATTATGTACCTATTATTTACACACACTATTATAACCGCTACTTTCTAGCAGTTTTTGAATTGAAACTTAAAATTTGGCGATTTCTACAAACTTTTTTAATATTTATTTCTTACTCATTGTAAATATGTACAAAGCAAAATTGTAGGTTTCTTTAACAGTTTAAAATCCCTCAAATAACAGTTATACATACCTAAATAAATGCCGCTATGTCGTCTCGTGTTTTGCCTATCGCACTGCAAACTCTTTCTTCTTCCTTTTTTTTTTTGTTAATTTTCTTCTAAATATTTTTACAAATTTTCGAAAATCAAATTTTCTCATAAGCAAAACAAAATTTCTAATAATAAGAAAAAAACTCTCGATCTACTTTTAGGCACACATTCTTTTATTTACTTTTGATTTAATTTTTTCATTACTTTATTATTTTTTTGGGTTATTGGTTCATTGCAATGATTTTTTGGACCAAACAAAAATATGTATTTGATTTCCAACATTATTCTTTTATAGACATAATACGCAAGATCAGCCTCCCCAGTACTCAGACAGGTAATTCGTTCGTTTATGCATTTCACCACTGCAGCGGGCGAATGAGTTGGGTCTTACTTTTATTCTTATTTTGTTAAACTTTTACTTTGTGACTTGCAAATTTTCGTTACGATTTTCAAAATTTCATTGAACTGTTATCTCATAAGCAAAACATATCCTCATATATAAATATCAATCGCTCGAAACCGGAATTGCTCTAAGTTTTTTTTAGAAGATTTATATATGTTGTAATGTAATTGAACTTGCAATCAGTTTGTTTGGATTTGTTTTTATTATATTTTTTGAATTACTTATATTTTGTTTTTTGAGTTATTACATATTTGCTTTGTGTCCCTCACCCAATTTTGAAATTTTGCTTTTAAAAATACTAGTCCAACTAATTTGCACGCCAAATTTTTCTGCTTTTAATGTCTAATCTATATTTTCTGTTCTCTTTTGCTTTAAAAGTTAATTAATTTAATTTTTTTGATGTAATGCATGATGTAGTGATAAGTGAAGCCTTGTCCTTTAAGTAAATTTAAATATAGTAAGTCCACAGAGCTTTAGTATATACATATAGTACACATTAAAAAATATTAGTTTGTTGAATCTTAGCTGTCTAAAGTTTTGCTCCAACCTTGGAATGCAATCATTTTTTGCGAAACTATAAACTTATAACAATTTTAAGGAAATCATATTTAAATGCAATTAATTTTTTTGCTACTTATGTATATGCACATATGTATGATGTGATAGTCCATAACTTAATATGATAGTATATAACTTATAATCATTAATTAGAAAACGTTTTGTTCTCATTAAAAGTTATTGTGTTTTAAAAGTAAGTTTAAAGTAAGTTTTTAGTATATACAATTTTGAGTAATATCATATACGAGTTTATGCCAGCTTATAGGCATTAAGCACGTCTCAATTTGATATTTTATTTTGGGATTTAGAAATATCAAATCAATTTCTCTCTCTTTCAATTTCTAATAAATAGTTTGAGGATATGCAAAATTATTATATTGACATTTTGATATAAAATGAAAGCCATTAGCCAATCTTCGGTGAAATGCCAATATTTGACCAATTTAGTGGTGCTTTTAGAACCCTAAAGTGTATTAACTTTTCAACATAACCTTGATTTTCGACTTGATTTTTTCGACTTTGGCTCACCTTTGCCACGATATTGTTAGGTGAAACGTCTGTTTCCGGATCGTAAGCATACATTCAAGACTCATCGCCAGTAATAATACATGATATCCTGGTAGTCGGAAAGCACTGTTTCACAGACTTTAATGCGACGCTTTTATTTTTTGTAAAAATTGAGTGATTTTGGAACCTATCGTGCTTTCACTTTCCTTAGGCCCAAAAAATGTTACACTGATCCTTTCGATATCCCAACGACGCCAGTAAGGTCTCTGCCTGTTAATCGTCGGTTCTCAAGCCCCAGAACTTTTATTTTATTGACATGTTGATCATCAGTTGACGTTGATAGACGTCCTGGTCATGGTTCATGAAAGTACTCCTTACTTCTTACTCCTTGCAATTTAGATATTTAAATTCCTCATACAATGTACTTTTTTGAAAAAAAGTATACTTTCCAAAAACTACTAAGTATACTACTAAAAAATTACTCAGGCGGATTTATGAACTTCCCTAAGCAGTTCAATCAGCATTATGTTAAATTGTCTTACCTTTGAACGGGTATAAATCGGGTCCGGCTACCTAAAATCCCTTAGATATAAGACAATACTTTTTTTCCGAATCAAATACAAAATCTAGTTATTATTCTGTAAAAACAACAAACACAAAAACAAGGGTAACTTTGATTTTCGATACCTTTTTACCTTTTTGTATGTAAGTAAAAAATGAGTTTGTGGCAAAATATATTTCTTATTATTGCACAGCTGGCCATAATTTTTTAATCCAAAAATCATTATATTCACCGGTATTAGTATTCTGGGACCAAAATTCAGGAGGAAAAACTTGGTTATATGAAAAATTTTAAGTATCTGCTATCATATATTTATCAGGGTAAATTGCATTTTTAAAAATAATGGATAAAACAACAAAAATTAAAGGAAAAATAATTTAAGGTCAAGGAAAGGAGGGGAAGGGGCGTGTTTGAGTTTTTAATGGTTAAGAATGGTTTATCTCAATTTCCTGCAACACTAGGACTACTAAAAAAAAGTTATATGGCAATGCTGTTGGTAATGAATAGGTTGATAAATTTTGTCTAACGAATTTTTTCACATGACCTAAAAAGTTTTGTGGAAAATTCAAAAAAACAAGATTTTGAGATTTTTGTTTTTATCTTGAACAAAAATGATTTTCTTTCTGAGCAAACTTACTATAGTAGTGTATGTATTTATTTTTCTTACCATCAGAAAGTAGAGATTTCATTAAAAAATTTGTATGCTGACTATAAGTTAGCAAACGTTTGATTTTAAGTAGAATTTGCAAATGTCGTGCGCTCATAGCCATGATTTTTAATTTTTTTTTTTTTTTTTTAAGAGGGGCGCCTGTTGGCCCACCAGCTTTTTACTTGCTTACAATTATTTTTTGATTTTTCCTTTTGCCAAGCACATTGTTACTAAGCCTCTGCTCGCGCTATTCGAAACAATCGCCAGCTTTTGTTTTACCGTTATTGTTTTTTGTGTGCCTTTTCTTTATTTTCTTTGACTATTTTTTGTGTTACCTACGAGATTTGCTTAATCAACTTAGTGTTTAGTCGAAGCTTACATACATACATACTTACATACAAATTAGTTATACCATAAATATGTAGAATTAAATTACGTACATATGCATATAGTATATGTATGTACATATGTACATTTGTATGTATTGTAAACTTGACCCAACTAAATTCTGATTTTATGTAGATGCCACATATTAGTATAAAAATAAACATTTTGTTTTCTTCTTTTCTTTTTTTTTTTGAACACCACATAAACACACCCACACTCGTATGCATACATACATACACATTACGCACCTGTACGTGCAACGGTAATTGCATGCGTTTGCGTGAAATTATTTTTGAAACGCAACGCCACCACGCAACACGTAATGACTTGAAAATCAAAAACACCAAACAACAACAACGACAACGAATTACGCAAATGCAATTACAATTATGGAAATCACAACAACACACACGCACGTATTTAACTGGGTCATCAACACATGAACTTGGCCACCATCTTCACACCGCCACCCGCCATCCGCTGTCACCTGCCACCCTGTAATATGTAGACCATCCCATACATCCGCCAAATGACAAGTCTGACCCATGGGAATTGGAATTTCCAGCTGATAATGATTATGAAATTAAAAGTATTAACGGTGTCTTCCACGTCTACAAGGATAAGGTGAGTAAGTGCCCCATAAGGCCCCATCTGCTTGTTTGGATTTGTGGAGTTTTTGTTTGATACTCCACTTAATATTCGCAGGAATGCACGCAGGAGGTGAAATGCGAATATCCAAATCTCAAGGAGTTCGTTAACGACATGCAAGTCATGTGTAATATGATTGTTGATGGACCACTGTGAGTTGCCTACTTCATACATACATATGTACATATGTACATATATACAATTGGCATATATTTTTCACTTTTTCTTCTTTCCTCGCAGTAAATCGTTTTGTTATCGCCGCCTTTGCTATCTCTCATCGAAATTCCAGTTGCATGTCCTTTTAAATGAGCTACGTGAGTTGGCTTCCCAGAAGGCGGTGCCACATCGTGATTTCTATAATATTAGGTGAGTAAAATCTCGTTGTCTCATTATATACTATGGAAAGAAAATATTATATTTATTAAGGATCTTAAATAGGACAAACCAATCATCATTAAAAAAAAAAAAAACAATCTGCCCGCCTATTAGTCTATCTTTATAACAAAACTTTGTACATGAGTAGGTTGATATGACAAATTGTGATAAAGCGATACTATCGGAAGTTTATAAAATGCGATAGTGTTATAACAAGCCAGAGCCACAATAAGTTTCACGTATTTTAATACAAATCTTAATTGCCGCCTGCAAAATAGGCTTCTGAGCCAAAATAAGCTTTATCTGCTTTGAAGCACCATTGTTGGACAGTTTTACGTCTCCTTGTTGTTGTTGCTGTAACATTTATCTAGTCTCCGTTAAAATGGTCAGGATTAGATAAGTTGTCATCGAGGTCATCCAACTTTATGGCTAGGAAACGTGCTGTTTTGACATATTCAAACCATAGGGAGAAGGATGTCAGATGTGTATGGTTCACAGGGCATGCAAAGAATTAGTTAGTGTCGCTGGACATACTATATTTATATTTGATATGTCAGCGTCGATTCTGGACAAGTAGGAGTTCAACCTGCAACATTATCCAGAACGAAGCTGCGTAAGGGTGTTTCTCGATTCTCGCGACAGTTCGAGTACGTCGTCTGCTGCAAATACGCCATGAGAGGGCGTCGGTGAAGGTGTTAATGGCTCCACTGTGAATGGCAGTCAGTGCATGTCTGCAGTTTGTTGCGTCCGAAGTCTGCTTAGCGTATTGTGTTAAGTCGGCGAAGTAGTTGAGGAAGGACCTCAAAAGCATCACAGCAGAAACTGCTTGGAGAGGAGTACATAATGCAACGTTCCTTTGTCCTTTCCTCATGTGCTGCCGGCTAGCGAGTTGTGGATTTTGTTGCAGCTCTGTACTTTGATCGCGCTTGTGTGAGAGGTGAATTTCGGAATTTTAACGCCACCGACTGCAATGCTAAGGTCAAGTCTGTACTCCTTCGTCCAATTAGTGTTAGGTTTCGTGCAGCGAAGAAGCTAGAAAGCGGAGGGATATCGGTTTACGTCTGAGCACATGCCATCGATTCCATTGGCCGACATCATTATTGTGCAATCATCCACGTACAAAGTGGTATATCTCTCTGGTGGTTGAGAGTTTCGAGATGTAGAAGTTAAACAGAAACGGGGAGAGCCCCGAGAGTATCTAAATTTCAATTCTAAACACATAATTTTAGATTTATTGTTAAGGATCATTTTATAAACTTTCAAAAGCTCTTTTGTAAAAAAAAAAAAACAACGATCTTACCGCAATATTTTTATTATTATTATTTTTTTTTTTTTTTGTTTAACTACGCAGAAAGGTGGACACTCACATACACGCCGCTTCATGCATGAATCAGAAACACTTGCTGCGTTTCATTAAGAAGACGCTCAAAAATAACGCCGATGAAATTGTGACAATCACCAAAGGTCAGCCAATGTCACTGAAAGATGTTTTCCAGTCAATGAATCTGACCACCTATGATCTAACTGTGGATATGTTGGATGTGCACGCGGACCGGAACACATTCCATCGTTTCGACAAATTCAATTCCAAATACAATCCGATCGGTGAGTCGCGTTTGCGCGAGGTCTTCCTCAAGACGGACAACTATTCGAATGGCAAATATTTTGCACAAATTATTAAGGTGAGTGTGAAAGGAGAGGGGTCGATGTAAAAAAAAAATCAATTTTTTAACTTGATTCTAATGAAATTTTACATGAAATAGGAAGTCGCCTTCGATTTGGAGGAATCGAAATACCAAAATACCGAGCTACGTCTCTCCATTTATGGCAAATCACCGGATGAGTGGAAGAAACTAGCCAGATGGGCCATCGAATACAATGTGCATTCGACAAATGTACGCTGGTTGATACAGATTCCACGACTTTAGTGAGTTCATCTATTGATTTTCCTTAATTTGAGGGCATACTTTTTAATTTTATTCTCTCTGTTATCACTCTCCCCAGCGATATCTTCAAATCCAATAATTTGATGAATTCATTCCAAAATATATTGGACAACATCTTTAAGCCACTCTTCGAGGCTACAAGCCGACCCAGCGAGCATCCGGACTTACATCGTTTTCTTAATTATGTAATCGGTTTCGATTCAGTGGACGATGAATCGAAGCCGGAGAATCCAATTATTGATTTGGACATACCAACACCGGAAGCGTGGAGTGAGGAGGAGAATCCACCATATGCCTACTACATTTACTATATGTACGCGAATATGACTGTGCTGAACCAATACCGAAAGTAAGCGATTCTTTGAACTAATTTTTTTTTTTCATAATAAATTTTTTATTTATTTATTATTAATTTGCATCCCTCTCCCTCCTACCGTAGAGCGCGCGGCATGAATACATTCGTTTTGCGTCCGCATTGCGGTGAGGCCGGTCCGGTGCAGCATTTAGTTTGTGGCTACCTAATGGCTGAGAACATCTCTCACGGTCTCCTCTTGCGTAAAGTGCCTGTGCTGCAGTATCTCTTTTATCTGACACAAATCGGCATTGCCATGTCGCCACTCTCCAATAATTCACTCTTCCTCAACTACCATCGCAATCCGCTCCCAGAGTATTTGGCGCGCGGTCTGATTGTCTCACTTTCCACCGATGATCCACTGCAATTCCACTTCACAAAGGTGAGTGTTGAGAGTACATCATGCGTTTTGAATTTGTTTCATATGAGAGTATTTTGTTTGCTTTTGCTATAGGAACCCCTGATGGAGGAGTACAGCATTGCGGCGCAAGTGTGGAAGTTGAGCTCATGTGATATGTGCGAATTGGCGCGCAACAGTGTGATTATGAGTGGTTTTCCGCATAAGGTGAGTAAAAGCATTACCTAATCGAGTGTTTGGCTCTCTCTTTATATCAACTCCAATAAGTTGGAACAATGCGTATTTTAGACGGTAATGGTCAAGTCATGTTGGATACTTAATTTTACTTGATATTTTTGTGCCTAAATAGTTTTAGTGAAGGCGTCAGATTTGTTAATTCTTGGCCGGATCTAAATTTGTGTCCACGGGAGTTAAATTTTAGTCATGTTCATCTGTTCGTCTGTCTATATATATGCAAACTAGTCCCTTCGTTTTTGAGAAATTGATCAAAATTTGTATTTATGAAGGAAGAAAAACAATATTTTAACTGGCATCGAAATTCCTTATCGGTAGGCCCAGAAAATGAGCTGTTTCGATGGGCTGGGACCATAAGGAAAAGGAAGTTCATTGAGTTGGTTTTATGCAAAGTATCGTGCGAGGACTCATTGTCTTCGTTCATTTTCTCCAACTTTCTTCTGCTGCATCCTGGCGAATGGTGCCGATTTGACAGTCCTTCGCCGGATTAAAATCAGGGTCCGTTCTGGTTACTTAGGACCTAACTATCGTGGAAACATATGCCATCAATTCCATTGCCCGACGTTATGGTCCACTTCTTCAATCCTGGAGGGATCGTAGGTTGTACGATGTCCTCAAACAGCGTTATGCGGTTGGCTGTGCCAAAAACTTCCGACAAGTCTAACCCTTCGAAGACGGTCCTCTCCTATAAAATTCTCTTCAGACCACTATAGCATATCGCTGTCATATCTGCTGACCAATCAAAATACGGTCCTCGATTTTTACGGCCAAGGACCGTCAACATGGCAGAATTCTCCCTCTGCAACAACCAAACAAAGTGAAGATATAGGTATTTTTATACCATGATCTCATTTTCAACACGACTACACTCAACTGAAAAAAAAACATTTCCCAAATGCTGCTGGCTCATTACTTAAATATGGAGTAATTTTACTTAAATCGACTGCTCCCATTTCCTCCGCAGGTCAAGCAACACTGGCTCGGACCGAATTACACGCGTGAAGGTGTCGCTGGCAATGACATAACACGCACCAATGTGCCCGACATACGCGTGGCCTACCGGCATGAAACGCTGCTCGATGAGCTGTCGAATATCTTCAAGGTGCACGAGATACCGAAAAGTGAGTAAACCTACCCGGAGACAACCACCAGCGCAGCAGTGCCCAACAACAACACAAACACATTTGATACACACATACAACTGCGTAAGCGATTGCTTAGCCCGAACAGCTGGTGCCATGACGGTTGAGCCGACATCTTCTCATGAATTTACCTACAAACATATGTATAAACTCCTTGAGGCTCCTTTTTCTACCACAATTATAACTGTAATTACTATATACATATATATTAATATTATTACTACTACTATTACTACATATAACTGCTGTTACTAAAACCAATCAACAACTACTTCAACACGCGCGTATTTACATACATGTGAATTTGAATCTTCTTGTTATAACCTTAATGAAAATATGTATGTATGTTGGCTTAAGTGTATGTTACATTTTGTAAACACACACACACATATATATATTTATTGAAATATCTTTTTTCGTATTTAACACTTGAAACTCATAAACAATTAACAAAAATCTAAACAATTGCAGAGGAGAGTGCAAACAACGTTCAACTGCAAGCTGAAGAAGTTGAAAATGAAGTTGAAAAAGCAAATCAAATCGAAGCCGTTAAGTCATTTTTTCTTAGCTCAGAATATAGCTCGTGCTTGGAGGATTTATAATATTTGTTATTGTTTCATAGTTTTTTTTGAATTTTTTTAAATTTTTTATTCTAATTTGCCATCGCTTTTAAGCAAGTAAAATATATGTATGTATGTATAATAATAATATTGTTATTTATAATATATATGTATAGCCTCTTCCAATGAGTAACTGTTAAAATATGTTGTTGTATTTATGCTCACACGTATCTGTATGTAATATAAATTATTTTGCAATTTCCTCAATTCGGCTTGTTAAACTAAAAATTGCTACGGCAACTGCAAATTGTTTCATGTAAAATTTAAATGCAAGCAGAAATTGTATTTACTACAACAAAAAAATGACAAATAAATTGTTTAATGGTGAAAAATGCAAAAATAAATTGTGAAAATCCATGTAAGCATTAAATTGTGGTTGTTTTTCTTCTTATTCAAGCACTTCCGCTGTAATAGTGTGTCTGGCTCTCAAACTGTGCAGTGTTTGGCACATAAACTGTCGTTGGTGGTGCAGCGCCCTCTAGCGTCTGGTAGAGCGCCTGAAAGCATGCCACACTTTTGTTATTTTTTTTCCGGCCGCCACTTGCTGGCTGGTTATGCGCGCCTGGTGTAAATTGGGAATTTCGTGCGCAGCCAAAAATGAATTTTCTGACGCTGCCGCTAGGGTGGTCGGTCGGTTTTTGTGGTAATTTGCTTTTACGGGAAAAATTGCTTGTTTTGGCGATTTTGCTGTAATTATATGATGGTTTTGGTACTGAAATTTTTTTCAGACGTATTTTTACTAAAAATAAAACAACAGGTTGGTTTTTATAATTTTTATTTT